AAGTAAAACTAAAATTTTGAAATAAAACTTCTTGTGAAATTACCGATATATTCTTTTGGGGAAAATTGAAGTTCCTAGTGTTGAGGGGTGATGCGTTGCGTATTGGTGTTGTTCCTAACTCTGGACTCTTCGGCTGACAGGAACCCGGTGACGATGGGCCCACCCCTGTGGACGAGTGGCTAAGCAAGATACGGCTCGAGCAGTACGGCTCCACCTTCCGGAAGCACATGTACGCCACCATGTCGCGGGTGCGCCGCATCTGGGAGGTGGAGCTGACGGCGCTGCTGGAGATCAGCAAGGTCGGCCACCGGCGGCGCATGCTGGCGTCCGTGTCTGGCGGGCGGCGGCAGCTACGCAGTGGCTCGCTCAACCCGGACGGCGGCCCGCCGCGCTCCGGCTCGTCGCTCTCCCTGGCCTCGGCGCCGACGACCCCGGGGGCGCCGCCGCCGGCCGCGACCACGCCGACGGGCGGCCCCGCCACCGCCACCCTGGCGCCCAACCCGACGGGCACGCTGCGCCACAGCAAGAAGACCAGGCCGGCCCCGCAGCCGCCCGGGGCGCCGGCGCAGGCCAGCGACCTCAGCATCCGGGACCCCAGCGAGCTGCTCGAGGGCGTGCCCGGCGCGCTCACCACCACCTGGAGGCACCGGCCGCACGACCTGGTCAGCGGCAGCGTGTCCTACCTGGCCAATGTGAGTACAGGGCGTGTACTTCGACAGGGTGGTCTCGCAGTAAGGGGACTAGAGGGAAAAGTCAGAGGAAATAACATTCTGGAAAGTCTCCAGAAAATTAGCGAAAGGTCAAAGAAATCGAACGTTGTTTTGGGAAAATGACTAAATCATGCTCCAAAGGAATTGTTCCAGAGCTTTCGGTGCCATTTTCAATTTTTTATGGGGCAAACAGTTCCTCAAGAAAACCTCCTAAAGAAAGTCTAGGATCTCGCGTATAAAGTCAGGGAATTGGAAAAGTCTGATTGCGGATATGGTGGACTGTGTTCCCTTCCTCCTTTGAGGCGTCCACTACATAATCTGCCCCGTGTTGCAGTACTTGGGCTCCACGGTGGTGAAGGAGCTGCGCGGGACAGAGTCCACCAAGAAGTCGATCCAGAAGCTCAAGGCGGCCGAGAGCAGCAAGGAGACGCCCGAGATCATGCTGTCCATCTCGTACCGGGGCGTGCGGTTCCTCGAGCCCGCCAGCCAGCAGATGGTGTGCGAGCACGAGGTGCGGAACATCCACTGCGCCTGCCAGGACTCGGACGACCTCACGCACTTCGCCTACATCACCAAGGACCACCTCAGCAACTCGCACTTCTGTCACGTGTTTTACGTCGCGTCCATGGTGAGTATAGTAGTAGAGTCATCTGGCACGCTTCCCTTTACCCCCTGGCAACGACTAAATGTGGCACGCGTCGCGTCATGTGAAACAACACTTTTGTGGAAAATAAGGAGGGTCTTGCCCTCGCCAGAACGTTTGTTTCACTGCACTCGACGAAGAGCTGACCAAAGACGATACGTGCATAAGGGCACCTGCATATTTTCTCTCGGAGTGCATGACGTCGTGCCACATTGGTTTGGCCCCACGCTGAGCCCCGCCCTTTCTCCTCCCCAGGACCAGGCCACCGAGGTCATCATGACGCTGGGCCAGGCCTTCGAGGTGGCCTACCAGATGGCGCTCAAGGAGCAGCAGCCCGACAAGCTGCACGCTCGCTCCATGTCCATCTCGGGGCCGCCGACGACGGCCGCTCCCGAGGCCGGCGGGTCACCGACGACCAACAAGGCGGCCGCGACGAACGGCGTGAGCAATGGTTCGACGCACGTGCGCTCCAAGTCGTGCGGGGAGCACCCCGTCGGGAGCACGCCCAAGCTGGTCCTCACGGAGGACGTGTAGGGGACCGTGTAAAGAGTAGGGTTTACATTCTAGTTCAGCTGGTAGTTACCTTCTACCTAGTAAGTAGGTAGGACGTGCTAAGTACCCGTTGTATCGGTCCCGTTCAGCCGTTTGAGTTAAAAGCCAGACTCGGACAGTGAGCTGGACTTAACTGTCTAGTCATCGAGGGCCCAGTTAGCTGTGATGTTGATGCCGCGACGGTGGGCGCCGAGCGGCCTTCTTTCTCTGTGCATGTGATGTTTAATTTGGATCCTTGTTTATTTTTACGCTATATAAATTTATTGAAGGAGGTTTGGTTAGTGTATTAGCTCAATATGTAATGCTACATACATATATATAATATGACGCGATATTATTATTGTTTTAGTCTCTCCAGCTGTTTGCCAAATTTGACAACTTTTTCCCCCTATGTTAAGCGGTATACATTTTAAAACTTTGTTGTGAAGCGCATGTGATTTTGTGAGTTGTTACCATTATTTAAGCATATCGTATAATGTTATACGCAAGTTGTTGTAGCTGTTTTCTTTGACATCTTGTATTGAAACTCTAGCATGGCGGCCGGTTGTCGACAACTTTGTCGATTATCTCAAAGTCGAAAAGAACTTTATTTCGCGTTGTCGAGTCACTCTTCTTCACTCATTTGCATGTTCACTTCTCGTTCCTCTAGTCACGGAAGTAAGTCACGGCAGTCACAAACCACGGGGGGCATATGACCGACCGCCATGCTGGGGCCTCGTGAGCGTTTTGCTGTCTCGACGGCAGCCCAAAGGTTGTGCTTAGTCCGACATCGATCTGCTTTTCTGGAAGTAGCCTTCTAACCGTTCCACTCTACAAGCTAGAGGCCCATGCCGCCCGTCTAAGCGCCTTGTTCTGCTCTCCATTCTGAATGGGGTGATATTGTTCCGCGTACCCTTCGTGTTTGAGCGTTGAATAGTTTTTATGCTCTTTTGCCTCTATTCGTTGCTTTTTATTTATTTGAAAAGACGTTATATTGTGCGCTATGAAAATTTATAGAATGTGGTTTAAAAATCTCTTAGATCATGTAGAGGTTTAGAGTCTTCGGATGCTGGATAACATCCCAATTTTATTATTTGCTATATTCTAGGCTGTTGAACGGCAACTATACTTCATTTTTACTGTTAGTGGGGTTTTCCCGTTAGTTAAACTGCTTTTTTCCATAGTCAGTGCCTCAGTAGTCAAAATCGAAAACCGACAGAATTATTTGTTTGTTGTTGCTTTAGAGTCCCCAAGTAACCACAGTTTTGCGGCGAAATTCTCAGTGATAGCTTAAATCAAAACTCTTATATTTGCATAGCAATTTTGTATCTTTTGGATCTATATAACGTTGTAACCGAGAGATGAAAGGATGCAGCACGTTATTGATCACGTAGCAACAGTAAGTTCAATTCGAGCAAGGCCTAAAAGATTCTTTTATAATTTTAATAATGACAAGCCAACATTGACAGGTAACAGAGAAGCACGTATGAAAACTAGTTTTCTTTTATAGTTTTGTTAAGTGTACTTGGCTTCGCAGAAATTATAATTTCTCAAACAAAATTTAAAATATTTCTTTCACAGAAAACAGGGTAGTATACTTTTTCGATATCGGTGTTCAACTTATTACTTGCATTTAATGCCCAGCATGAAGCTGAATTTTTAACTGCTCAGATCGTGTTACATTTTACTGCATTATTTTGTCCAATCAGAATATTCCACGCCTTTCGAAAAGCTGTGCTCAAAGGGTCATTGTCCAAAATGATGTACCTGAAAACTTGTCCAATTTTATTTTATTGCCGACTACTAAGTTTTCCCATTTAGAGTGATTTTTGGGAAATCGTTTTGCTCTATCAGATAAATGGTATATTGAATGATTGTTTACTGTTGCATGTTTTTGTGACATTCTCCGATTATAGATTTGTGATACTTGTGCTTTTCACTCGAGAAAAAATAGCATTCTCAGCGTTTAGGTTGCAGTTTAGAAAATCCGCCTTTTTTTTCCAAAGACAATCTATTTCATCCGCTTTGACGTAATTTAATAATGTACCAATCGTGATTGTAACAGTACAAAGTACTGAACGAAAATGTCATCACTCCATGTTTGATGCTAATTTGCGTGTAAGGTGTGGAAAGGGAAAATTTCTCAGAGAAGGGACCGTCCGTTGTGATTTTTTCGCGAAGATTTTGTCAAAGGACCGTAGAATTTCAGTGATTGTGCAGGAGTATAAAAATGTGTGTGAGAATTATCTTTATCTGATGTAATACTCGAGACTTTAACCCTACATATTGCTCCATGGAATCGACTTTCGTGCTAGTAATACAAAGCATGTGCTACTTTCCTTTAGATATCATTGTGAGTAAAGTCTTACACCGCGTGCCATTTCTTGATGTTAAGGCGGAATTTACTGCTCAATACTCGAAACAATCCTATTATTATGACTGCCTAGAGTTTTAGACTTGTGTTTTGCATTTTTACCCATCACTGGTTGAATACAAACTGATAAATCTTTTTATCTTATCCTGACATTAAGAAGTCTGAATATGTGTAAGCATTTGTTGCGACGTACTTTTTTGAGTCTTGAAATGTGCGCACAACCATCTTGTCATATTGTTTAAATTCTCTACATTTGACTCAAAACTAAAAAAATAACATGTGAGGTGGGCCAAATTAATCCCACGTGTACAGTGTGTGCATTCATAGTCTGAATCGAGCGGTGCAAGCGCGAGCATACCAAAGATTAGTTATTGTAGGATATCTCTTACCTTGGCCGTTAATCGAGGTATGATTTTCTCATATCCGTACAATGTTTTATCTCTTTTCTGACGCTCTTAGTGCTGCAAATACTCTGACCAATTTCTGTGCTTCTGGTGTAATTGTTTCCTATGCATTTAAACAACTTTATGACCTTACTACCTGTTCCTATAACCTATGTCGTGGTGTGGATGCTCAATCCCAATCTTGAGGCAAGCGACTTCGCTAAGTTTGTGCTCACTTCTTCGGAGACGGAAGCTTCGAAGGCTTTGTAAAATTTGGTTTGTGTGATCGACTGTATTCGCCTTATTTCTACTTCTTAACTCTCATTTACCTTACCAATCTTACGAACCAATCTTCTAATGTAGCTAGAATTTTATTGACTTCATAGGTGTGCTCAGAAGAAACGGTTTGTCCTTGGGTCAGTTGGGAATTTTAATTCCTCTCGTGTACTGTTAGAGAGTACTACTGAGTTTGATCTCGCTGTAAAATGTTTTTAAAAATCTTTAAAACTCGTTATGATTTAGTTAGTGACAATGGTTCTCTTAGTTTCCACACTATCGCTTCATCTCTTTCTGTGTTTGAGGATATATAGATAGGATAATCAAAAGACGTTTCAGAGACTCTTTACGAGACTTGATTGATATGAGGTCTCAAAGCTTATCTATTCATTTCATTTAAGTTCCATGCGTACTGCCGTACAATACTGCCTGTTTCTTCGGATTTCTTGAACTGATACTAGCTATCTTCAGTGAAAATGTACATATATTTATTAACGTATTGTTTGTATTATTATTATTATTATTATTATTATTATGCTAAAACTGCTGACTCTCCAAGAGGCTAAATATAACGTTGCATGCAACGTGTTAGTTAATCATCAACTCAAATGATATTCATAGACAAGAATAAATACTTGTATTAAGGTGCTGTGCTGACCTAATCACCACAATTGTAACATCAGTCATTTTGACATAAACCTTTCCCCCCCTGAACGGCTTGTTATTGGACCCCCTCTATCACCCCCACGACGACTCCAGTGCGAAATCATTTTGCCAGCAGGGTATGTTTGCGAAGGGGCCTATCCAACAGGGCTGCTGCGGCCCGCCGCCACCGCCCCTTGCAGAACGTCAATACCGCCAAGTAATTCGATTTGTATGCAAATGCATCGACGGGAGGGGCCTGCTCTTGCCAAGAGCAGTAGCGGGGTGAAGAGCCCTTCAAGGTGCTGCTGCGCCGACTACTACAGGTTTGCGGCATCGCTAGGGATGTGACGTGTATGTGTGCGTGGGTGTGTGGATGTATGTGTGAAACGAGACACGAAAACCGTGTCGGCCCCGTCGCCACCAACCTGCCCGGGCTGTGTACTGCACCAAAACGGGCACCGCAATGGAGGGCTGCAATGGGCCGGGCCCCATTGTGCATCGGGGCTGGGGGTTCCTTCGGCTCGCCCCGCCCCGCCAAACCCTGCTGCTGCTCCGCCACACCACGCCCCACCTCGTTCTATGCACAAAGAAGTGCACGGGCCGAGAGAGAGAAATGTAGGAGAGCAGCAGCTCTCGGCAATATGAAGAGTGGTCCGAGACACGACGACGACACGGGCGGCCCGCGTGCATCGGCGCGTGCGCACGGTGCATAAGCGTTTGTTTATCATTTTATTCTGTGCGCAGAGCGTATCTTCCTGCTCTGCATTCTCACGAACGAACCCGCATGACCTCTGTCGGTTGCACAGCACTTTTCATTAATCAACCAACCCAACACTCACAACGCAAGTAGTGGAGCACCTACCTCGTTTAGAGTGCGATAGGTATTATTAATGAAAGTTGGAAAAAACTGCAGGAGGCAACAGAATGCCAAAATGGTGCGAAAATTTCTTATTTTGGGCACCTAAAGAATGCCCTTGCTAAAAAAATAATTTTTATGAACTTTAAAAAAAGATTTTGTCTATAACTCAAATTATTTGAGTACACTCGAAACACAAGTGTGTGAATGTCGCGCACTTGTGGGCTGAATGCCTACTCGCACACTAAATTGAGTAAAAAGTGTGAATTCCCCTTAGAAATTCGCACACTTGCCCCTCCGTGTGTACGCCATTAATTTCGTCCCATTTGCCAACATTCACACACTTAGGTTTCCGGTGTGTGTGTGTTACATGGTTTACAATTGCACGTTCGATTATTTTCCCTCTAGATACTCGAACGGAGCCGGACGACAGCCTCTATAGCCTCTCTACGTGCGTGCACTCCTCTAACTACGCGCCCCGCTCCTCTCTCTCTACCGGAAGCAGGCCACCACTTGAGGGAAGCCCACAGTGCGCCACACTGTGCGCCACTCACTTCCTGCAGCTTCACAATGCAGCTCGTCTCTGATCGCTCCCACACTTCCGTTACTGGACCGTAATTATCGCGAAGGGTCCTGCTCGTCGTGTGTGCTGCGTGTGTGCGGTCCGGTGCGCGCGTGCAAGCGCGGGGGCCACCGCATGCGCACAGCGCGCAGCACAGGGGACGACCGCATGCGCACGGCGTGTTTTGGCACACACCAGCTCCAGTCTAATGGCGGAAGCAGTGCGCGGCCTGCCGGACCCAATGACGCGCGTCAAGATGCTTGGTGGCGCCCTCTCGTCCTCTTCGGCCGCCCCCTCCTCGGCGCAAAACCTCCTGTGTGTTCAATTAGCCGTGCGGAGCCACACGATCTGCCGTCTGCCCGGCCCGCTACAACACACTCACACACACACTAGCACGCTGAGACCGCGTAGATCACATGCCAATAAAAATGGTAATGTGTTGGTCCGCCCCAGTCGTTAGGCGGCGGTGCCCTCTCCAGCTTTGCCACTTCCGGGACCATCATGGACGTCTTGGGGGTCTCTTATGGTGCTGTGCACACTGCACGACACTGTCCAGAAAAATGGGTGTCGTTTATGGTTTGTTTCTTTCGCAAAATAATTGTAAAACCACAAAATAATTCGAGTTGTCGGAACTCGTGAACTTTTGTCTATTAGTCACTCACGAAGGTGTTTAAGTGAGCCGCTATTACTGTTCAAGAAAAAAGTCAAAACTTCTTGAAGAATTTGTGGTTTAAAAAGTTGTTAGAACTGTGCTCGGTTAGGGGGAAATCACAACTCTTCTTCGTTATCAAAACTTGATTTACTAGTATTACGCCTGGCTCACGACTGTTTCAAATTGAGTTAAGAAAATGCACCTTATGACTATAGGTGTGTTGTGATTTCACAGTTCCTCCGTATTGAGCATGTGTTGGAAAACCACAAAATATTTTAAACTAACACTCCACCGTTGCGCATGTACGTGTCGGACAAACCGTGGCCGACGCTGTACACTTTGTGGTATACTGTCGAGATATTGTGTCGCATGCGGCTCTATTTACGACCACGACTTTGATAAAACTGACAAGTTTGCTGATTGCTCGACTGCGCAGAATGGCGCGTCTCAAATTTCTAATCAGCCGAAACTAAAGTACTTTTTTTTTTCTTGACATTTTATAGCTACGGTGAGAACAATTATCGAAATCAAGTAATTCGCTAAGTAGGACATTTCGATAGTTTGGTTTGCTAAAATTGCTCCAGGTCGTGTACACATGATTGCACTATACCTCGTTGCGCAGTGACAGACTGTTAAATTCCTTCAAAGCAATGCTTTGCAGACGCTTTGCAAACTGCAAAGGATTATGACGCTTTGTGGAAGAAGAAAGATTTGCAATTGCGAAGCTTTTGCTTTGTTATTACGGTGCATTCGCAGACGTAGCAATAAGACCCCGTAGGCCGTTGTATGCTTTTAGCAGTGCATGGTCGTTGCAGCCCAACCCGTCTCGTCACGAAGCGGCAGTGCCAATTGGACAATGGCAGGGTATATAAGTCGGGTGATTTCGCGTCGTCGCTAGTCATGAAGTTCTGCAACATTCTTGTCCTACTGTTCGTAGCGTTCCTCGCCCTCACGGCCAAGGTCAGTATAGCAGTAGGCACCTGCTACTCCTCAAAGCAAGGTTCACGTCTGTCCAGGGTTTATTCCTGGAGAGTGTTTTCATAATTGTGTTAGTGGCATAAATTTCATGAAAACAAACTCAAGTCTTAGTTATCATCGTCCCCACTGGATACAGGCGCGGGCTGACCAGTACGGCTGCGACACCAACGCGGGCTGCGGATCCCCGGCGTGCGTCCGGGCGTGCGTGCTGGAGTGCCAGGGGAACCCCCAGACCTGCAGAGGCCGCCGCCGCTAACCGCCCTTCATGATCAGCGAATGCCGTTCGTCTTGCGCTTCAGAGTATGATGTTCCTGAAATACATGGAATAACATGTTATGTCCGATGATGGCTATTCTCGTCCCGTACGACTTGTCGTTTTTCCCCCGACAGTATAGATTTCAATAGGCCAAATATTCCGTCTCTTTAAAACAGAAGTTAATCTGTACCAAGTCACAGTTCAATTCGCCACACTTACATTCAGAGCCTTGGCCTTGTACAAGATTGGCCTTGTACAAGATTGGCCTTTGCAGTCTGGTGTTTACAGCTAGATTGCCCTGTGCCGTCTGGTGTTTACAGCTACAATGCCCTTTGCAGTCTGGTGTTTGCAGCTAGACTGCCCTTTGCAGCCTGGTGTTTACAGCTAGATTTGCCGAGCCGGTTGCGCGCTGTCTGCCCCTGCTCTTTTGTTTGCGCAAATTGCGTTTGGGGTAACACGCTTAGCGGTGAGATAGTAACGCAATAGCAGGCCTGTGGGCAGGCGGCGGGCGCGGAACTGTCTGACATCAAAAGGACGCCCTGGGGCGCCGGGCCCCGTGGTAGCCGACGTGGCCCTCGCCCGGGCGCTGCGGTGGCGCAGGGCGCAGACTGAATCAGTAGCTCCCCCTCCTGGTCGCGCAGACGACACGGAACCGCGGCGGCGGATCCCTTGCATTCTCAAACTTAAAGTAGCAAAAGTCAAGGAAGGAAACTGTAAAGATATACAAAAGAGCCCGCGCAAATGCAATCCAGGCTCTAACAGTAAACAATAAATACACAAATTCTGCACCTATGTGCGCAACTCTGAAGACCAAGATCAAACCGGGACCTGGGACGTACTTTTGGTTGGATTTTGATTTTGGCTTACATCACTACTAGTACACTCCGGGAAAGACAACTCAGTCCTCATGTTTTCTGTGCTTTCCCCTTTTGTGCTGTGGTGCATGCTTTTTGCGAGTACGGTCTACCGGATCGCGGTGCAAT